GCAGAAGGTTTGCTTTCGCACAGAAAGCTTGTAGACTGACCCGAGTCACTTTCGAGGAGTAGTTACTCGGCGGATGAAGTCATGTCTAGGAACGTCAAAACCAGCCCTAGGCAAATGATCACTCCTAGACGAAATCAACCAAACAATGGAACTAAACCGGAACGTTCGTGCAAACTTTCAAAGCGGTAAACAGTTTGCATGGCCAACAAGTAAGCTGAATAACAAATTTGTATGTTGCGTAATTATTGCGTCCTGGATCCATTGATATCGTAAAATAAGTTTTTTTTATTATAAAAAAAAGTAGCAGTCTAACTTGCAGTCCATGTGCTGCCTGACACTTCAAGACACTTCGGTCCTATTAATAAATCAAAATATTTTAGTAGCGATTAACCCCGCACAGTGTTCAGACAACTTACACACTGTGAGAATGTCTAGAGTCAGGCTTGCACAAATCGGTACCATTGGTCCGAGTCTCAATGCAATTGATTTCGGAAAAAAATTTAATTGCCGAAATTAAATCACCTACTACCGTTTACAGGTACAATTCCATACTAATTTCCCTCACCTCTGTTTAGAGAAACTAGACCTTCATCTCCACAGCTTATTAACTCCTCAAGGCACTGGAAATTTAATTTCCTCAATTTGAGCAAAGCCACAATAAGTAACAGAGATGGACAAAATGATGTCAGATTGTTAAAGGTTCATTTTTACCCAGGTTGATTCATTTTGCTTAGGAAATAACTTAACAAAAAGGCAAGGAAAACAGTGGAACTATATTATGAAATAGATTTCCCCTCTTCTGTTACATATGCCAGCAAATTATTCTCCTCTACTACTTGACATTTTCCTGTTTTTCATAGTTATAGGTTGTATTTTTGAGGTTAGTGAGCTTAGTTGGTGAAACGTTTCGGTTTTACTCGAGTTTTAGACCATGGTGTATGCGCATGCTTGGCAAAGTTATCCATATAATGGTTATGACCTGGCTGTCCTCCATATAGACATAGAAGTTAATGGGATATACAGAATAACGAGCTAGAGGTTTTGTGGCATGAGCAATCATGAAACCAGGAGAACAATCTGAAGTTAAGGGACAAAATGTGTTACACATTAAAGCTAGGTTTCAAACAAGTTTAAGCCATTCAAAGTAGGTTATGCGTTTGAGACAAATGATTATTTAAGAAATATTTACTTTACAGACAGGGTCACCTTTAGAGACGCAAAAGTAAAACGATCGGCAAGCCACGCTCTGGTCCAAATTATACAAAGACATCGGCAAAGAGGTGAGCAAAAATAAAGTGCTCACCACTTCGATGGCTTTCATGGGAGGTAGGTACGGTCGTTACGGTAAAATGACTCAGTCTCAAGTTATGATAGGGGCCTCACGACGATACAGAAATGTTGGATAAACTAGGATTCTGATACAGACCTTAGAGCGAAGGTTTGGGCGCATAAGAACTCGGATTGAAAGATAATGTTAGATGCTTACCCTAACAGTAAAGTACATTGCTCCCATGTAGCTTCACCTATCGTACCACTTGTTTGTTCTATCATGCCAAGAATTCTGTTAATTGCGGAAACGATCACTTCTTGTTGAAGGACAGGCCAGCCGCAGTCAACAGCTCCAGCCTTTCTCCTTCTAATAGTTGCAGAAACCAGTGAAGGAACGAAGGCTACGTTTATCGGACCAAGGGCGCACCGTCGAAAGGCCGGAACAGCACAACACAATTGGTAGGCATCAGTGAGACGTTGTGAGACGAGGAAGCTTAAATTTGTCCGATGGATAAATTCCAGGCAACGTTTTGAGGGTCGCGTGATGGCAGGAAGAGGCCGGTGGGCAGGCAGACGGATGACATGGAACAAGCTATTATCCATGAGGAAATTTAAAAAACCGGCTTTGCGTCGAAGACCTAACCGCCCATAGAAGCCAGACAGCACGTAAAGCCGTTCAAAGAGGAATGCATTCTAGAAAATATGCAGTGCAGGCTAAGTCGAATACGCAAAATTAGTTGCGAAGAGAGTTTAAGAGGTTAGTCATTATAAAATCAGTAGGTAATGAGAACAAACATTGTCTAGTAGTCACAACAAGAAGTCCCAATATCTAATACTCAATCGTTTACCATGCACTAGTATTAGCAAACAACTAAAAAATTTCCAAAAACACCAAGCACTGAGTCAAAACCATGGAAGTGATGGCACCCGACCCCCGACCAAATCAGAAAAACAGTTCCGTGACAGCGAAATAACTAAGAAAAAAAGACAGAACAATACCTGCAATTTTGCAAGCGCAGATGATGAAAACCGAAAAAATGAACCTAACACTACATAGTGACTACGATAAAAAAAGTAGGTATAGACGGACTGGATAGGAAACACCACAAGATAGCAATTCAGTCACAATATGGCAGGAGTCACAATAGTAACCCAGGCGCGACAAGAATCTGAAGTATTTTTGGTTCAGTTCCCGATTTAGCGAGAGTGAACTGCACTCCGGTCTTCCCATCGATTTGTCTAATGATGCAT